TTGCTGTACAATTTAAAAAGATTAAATAAGTGTCTATGAAAACTAAAAATACAGTAAGTCTCAACAGAAAAGCCTGCTTGCCTTTGTCAAGCCAATTACAGCACGGAAAGGTGCAATGTAAACATGGATGCCCACCATTTGCTTTGTGAGAAAAAAATCAGAAAATAATTACGAAGCCACCAGCAGCCACCTTCAACAGGAAGAAAGATCCAGAGCAAAGGCTTGGGTCGGTGTCACGACATTGCACTATCTGGCCAACGAACTTGGACTACCAATCACATAGAATATTAGCGTGATACTGTTGGAACACTGGGACACCTACCGTATTCTGGATGATTAGAGAAAGGGAGAAAATGATAGAGCCCTGAAAAGTATTCTTTATAATGATCAGAATGCATCATCTTCCCCCTCCCCACCTTTGTCATATACAGTTTCTTTTCAAAGCTATTTTCACTGTCACATCTAAGTGTTCAGAGCAGAAAACAAATACTATCAGCTTTGTCTAATAAGGTGTCTAATACCAATAAATGTTATTCCTATGAAGTAATTCTTATTGAATTTTTTTTTTTTTTGGAAACAGGACCTCATTCTGTCACCCTGATTTGAGTGCAATGGTGCTATTACGGCTCACTGCAAGCTTCCACCTCCCAGGCTCAAGTGATCCTCCCACCTTAACCTCCCAAGTAGCTGGGACTACAGGCACGTGTCACCAATGCCTGGCTAATTTTTGATTTCTTGTAGAGATGGGGTCTCCCCATGTTGCCTAGGCTGGTCTTTTTTCTTGTTTGTTTGAGACAGAGTTTCGCTCTTGTGGCCCAGGCTGTAGTGCAATGGTGTGATCTCGGCTCACTGCAACCTCCACCTCCCAGGTTCAAGCAATTCTCCTGTCTCAGCCTCCTGAGTAGGTGGGATTACAGGTGCCTGCGAACACGCCCAGCTAATTTTTGTATTTTTTAGTAGAAACGAGGTTTCACCACGTTGGCCAGGCTGGTCCTGAACTCCTGACCGGAATCCACCCACCTTGGCCTCCCAAAGTACTGGGATTACAGACGTGAGCCACCATGCATGGCCTGCCCAGGCTGGTCTTAAAACTTCTGGACTCAAGCAGTGCTCCAGCCTTGGCCTTCTAAAGTGTTGTGATTTACAGGTGTGATGCCCAGGCTACTACTGATTATTTTAATAGCTATCTCTTTTACAGTTATAATTGCATAATCTTCATTATTACTTTTAGAAAACTCAATTGTTCTTAGTAGACACATTGTTAACTTAAGGCTTGCCACAGAATGTTAATGGGAATGTACAGAACCTTGATACACGCTTTCTCTTATTGGCCAGGACAGTGCTTTAAAGGACGATTCTAAGGCCAGAATCAGATGAAACTTGAAAGGCTCTGAACTTCTGGGTTATTTTTCCCCATGAGGTGGGGAAATTTTAAATCCATGATTCCAAGTGGAAAATCTAAGTAACAATCAATGCAATTAGTTTAAAGAAATAAAGTAATTTAAAAATTTACGTCATTGAAATTTTGGGGATTCTTTTCAGTATTAATATTTTCCAAATATTATACAAAACTAAAGCCAAGGAAATTTTATAAAACAAAATTCTTCTAAGGTTGTTAATTTCAGAATAACAGATTTTTATAACAAAATACTGAGTCATTGTACCAGCAATGATAAAACTGACTTACAATGAGTGGCAACAGTAATAATAATGGAACTATTTTAAATGTTTTATTTGAATTTAAAATTAAAATGTTTCAATTCTGAAAAAGGAGAAAATGAATATAAGTCCACATACAGTGGATTTGGGGAATATAATTTAGTATATATAAATCCATTTCATATTTTTAAAAACCACATACCAGAAATGGATTAACTTTCATAAATAAATTAAAGCTATCTAAATAAAAAAGCTGCAAAGCTACAATCATTTATGTTTGTTTAAATATCACCAAAATGAGATGAGAAAAAAAAAAAAAAAACCCAACAAATCAGACAATGTTTCAAGATGCCTGGCCCCACTTACATATTAATCCAATCATACCTGGACTTTAGGAACAGAATTCTTCCCTAAAACATGCCTACAGAGTATCCCATTCGAAAACCTGTTTTCAGTGTTCAAAGCTGATCGGTCACAGCCTCGTCTCAGGTGTTAGAAATCAATATTCAGATATTCGGAAATAGCACCGTGAGGATGGTGCACAGAAGAGTGCACCGGCCTTTTCACCTGTAAGCAGAATTTACTTTCAAAACAATGCATAAATAAGTAATCAGAACTACAAAAACAAAAACACCCTGTTTTCTTCACTCTTGGAAATAATTAAAATATAAAATGTGTAATTAGTAAGACTACATCTATTTGATGGTGAGTTTTAATGCTAAAGCACTTTGCATTGGTTTTCCGTATGTCCGATCACACTCTAACAAAATAAGAATTTTCCAGATAGGAGGAATCCTATAGACTTGCCAAATGCTGTTATTAAAATTTTTACAAACCTGAATTTTTGCTATATTTTAGTCACATTTGGATATATTCCACTTCTGCTAAATATAAGTAAATTAATATATCCCAGGAAGGAAAAGCTCAACACAGCAGTACTTATTTTCAGAAGCTTCTAAATTTCACCCCTCATCCCTTAAGGGATTTTTGGAAATAGTTCAAACTATTTCCAATATCCAATGATTAAATGTAAATTTTCATACATTGTTTGTTTCACACACTTTCAGATAACAAGCATGGTCTCATTTACCAGAGAGTATTAGAAGGTCTATGTACTACTGAGAAAGTATGCAAAGTTCTGACAGACACTGAAAAGAGCCTCTGAGAACACTCAAGACAATTTAGCATTACTATAAATTGAGATCTGGTTTGAGTCTGGTGGGAATTCACCTGTTTCCTCATTTGCCCGCAAAAAGTCACAGTAAGTTTAAGACAATACTTTACTTCTTAAATGCCTATTTACAATCTAGTTTTGAATTTAGAGGTCTGTCTGCTTTTCTTTCTTTAGTAAGGAGTAAAGGAACATATCCTAGATTAAGTAAATTTCTACCAATTTAGGGATTTCAGTAGATCATTTCAAAGCCCTCTAATTATGTTTCATTGTTGACTTTGTTGGTGACACTGAAAAAAACCCCTCCCAGAACTGTCTCCCATTTCTCACTGGAGTCTGCATGTCAGAAGTGAGAAGAAAACTAAGTTCTGCTTAAGACTGTGACACTTTATGACTTTTAGAATAGTTCCTGAAAAGCTCTTGCTTAACTCTTTTGCTTGCATTTCTATACTATATAAGCTTTTATTAATAAATACACTCAACACTAAGAAGGGGTAAAAAGGGTTAATATTGTATTATACCTCTGCTTCCTCTTCGACCCACTCCCCCTCACTCAAAATACTTAAATATCATTACTGCTCGTCCATTTGGAATTCCTTTTATTACAGGTTTGGTTCCAAAGTCACAGCTGTCACTTCCTCAAAAATCACATCAACGATTTCTTCTGTGGCTAGGTTGTTTGAAGCGCAAAGATGAAACTGGTGAAGGAATCCTCTTCTGCTTTCCTGTTCGAGTCATTATTCCATCTAATTTGTATTTAGAGCTGCGTTGTGGTCCTTATTCAGGATGATGTTCACAATTTCACCCTCATGCTCTTTCATATGATCCAAGAGGTTTTCTTTGCTGGTTGATTCAAAACCACAAATACAACAGCAGAATAGTAAAACACAGTACTCCATACCAGGAGGGGCCAGACTGGAGATTTTTTCTAAACTATATGAGGTATTACTTGTAGGGCTCAGTTTCTCATTCTCGTTGGAACCCAGAACTTCACTGGGAGTCTGGGAAATCAGTTCTGAAGATGACAATGCATTTTCTGAACTTCCAGTGATGGGATCTGTGCTCTCTTCACTGTTCTTTAATTGAGTCTTTCCAGGGGATTTCCCTAGAACTCTTAAAAACAAAACAAACACACCACACAATGAGGAGGCTATAATGTAGGACTAGCAGATTTAATCCTGGCTTTAATTTACACATAGCAATAAAGGGAGGTGGTAGATGAATTACCTGCCACTTTGTGAAATAGCGTCGTTAATAGCCTTATTTACTTGTTCGTAGTTATAATTTTGGTCACTCGCATGTTTCCACATATGAGACTTCAAAGAAGGAGGATGGCTACACACATACCCACACAGAGAGCATCTGAAAGACAGGCAGGCACAGGGAAAATCAGAACGGTCCCATAACATCGCTGAAAAATTCTCATGATTCTGTAACAATTATTATATCCCTTCTTCTGAACCCTTATTATATGTATCATATTGCACTGAATCTAAGATGTTACTGATTCTAAGAGGTACACTGATTTCAGAATGGATGTCCTAGAATCAATGAAAGAAGGTGTTTTATGTTATAAAGAATTAGTAAGAATCAAGACAGGCATTCCAGATTATTTTAAGTATTGCAATATTTGGAAAGATTTCTGATACAGTAATATGCAAAATCTTTGCTCTAAATTATTTAATCACATAAAAATTACAAAATTAATACCTTATACCACTCTACTGCTTAACCGAGAAAGCAAAAAGAAATGAAATGACTTTCAACATGAACTCTGCACTCTTTATAGACTCCCAAAAAACGGAAGCAGTTGTCTTGAAAAACCTTCAACAATTTAGATTTCATAAATAAAACAATAGTCTTAAAATGTTTCTATTAAAAAACATAATTGTTCCATATAGCTGGGTACACTTGGTAAAATCTGAATTTAACAAAGAAGGATTTTTAGAAAAATTAATAGCCTTTAGTTTTTAGATGGCTTTAGGTTTACAGAAAAAACTGGTCAGATAGTACTGAGTCCTCATATGCCTCCTCTTCCCCTGTACCCAGTTCCTCCCATTATTAACACTGGTGTACTCTACTTGTTATAAATGATGAAGCTATACTGATACTTTTTTATTAATGAAAGTCCATAGTTTACATTAGGGTTCATTATTGTGTTGTACGATTCTGTTTTTTGAGACAGGGTCTTGCTCTGTTGCCCAGGCTGGAGTGCAGTCTTGCTTTGCCGTGTTCTTGTTTCACTGCAACCTCTGCCTCCTGGGTTCAAGTTATTCTTGTGCCTCAGCCCTCTAAGTAGCTGGGATTAAAGGCATGCACTACCACGCCGGACTAATGTTTGTATTTTTGGTAGAGATGGGGTTTCACCATGTTGACTAGGCTGGTCTCAAACTCCTGGTCTCAAGTGATCCACCCGGCTCCCAGAGTGCTGGGATTACAGGCACACACCACCATGCCCAGCCAATTCTGTGTTTTGACAAAGGTCCGCCATTCCAGTGTCACATGAATAGTTTCACTGCCCTAAAAATGCCCTGTCCTTCAGCTTTTTATCCTTCCTTCCTGCCCTGAATCCCTGGCAACCATTGATGTTTCTATTGACTATAGTTTTGCCTTTCCCAGAACATCACATAATTGGAATAATAGCAATATGCATGTACAGTTTTTCCATGTCTTTCAGGGCTTGATCAGTCTTATCACTGAGCAATATTCCATTGTGTGGACATATCATTGTTTGTTCACTCACCTGCTGAACAGTATCTTGGTTGCTTCCAGTTTTGTGCAATTACTAATAATTGCTGATATGAACACTGATGTGGAAAGTTGTTTTGCTTTGTTTTTGAGACTGGGTCTTACACTCTGTCGCCCAGGCTGGAGTGCAGTGGCATGACCATAGCTCACTGCAGTCTCAAACTCCTGGACTCGAGCAATCCTCCTGCCTCAGCTTCCCAGCAAGCACAGGTTTTTGTAAGGATAAAAGCTGTCATCGTTTGGGCAAATACCTAGCAGCATAATTGCTGGGCTGTATTGTAAAACTGTCATCTTTTTAGGAAATTGCAAATGCACTTTTCCAAAGACATTTTTGATAAATACTTAATTACAAACCTAACAAATCAGGTAACTTAAATGAACTCCTTCCTACACCAGTAAGAGACACAGTCAGCAATAACGAGGCACAAAGAAAATCAAACGGCATAGGAGTAAACAAAGCAATTAAATACGGGCAGAGACTAAACTGTTATTCTGCCCACCTCCAATTTAACTTTTTGATAGCATGCAGGAGTATTTTTTTATTACACACCCTGAGGAATCAGGTCCAAGGCCAAGGATCTCTGATCTCAAGAAACAGCAGCCCACTTACAGGCAATACATAGGCAGTTTTTTTTTTTTTTTAGACAGGGCCTTGCTCTGTTGCTCAGGCTGGAGTGCAGTGGTGCGATCATAGCTCACTGCAGCGGTGTGATCATAGCTCACTGCAGCCTTGACTTCCTGGAGCTCATACTCCCACAGTGCTACAATTACAGTCATGAGCTACCATACCCAGCCTAAATAGGCAATTCTTGATAGAATTTCTAATAAATTCAACTATATGAAAAGCTGTTCAATCTCACTAACAATCAGGGAAATGTATCACACCCGTCAGAGTGGCAGAGATAAGTAAATCTGAAAAGATGTGGAATCTGATAAATCTGGTAAGATTTTTCACAGATGTGGAAAAATGGAAATGTACAAATTGTATGTATGGCACTCTGAAGAGCAATCTGGCAGTATCTATTAAGGCTGAAGTGGCACAAGCCTGTAGCCCCACAAATCTGGTGTCCACAAGGACACACATACAAGAATCATCCAAGCCATGAACCGCAAAAAAGGATACAAACCACAGCCACTATTTTTCCACAAGGATATGGAAACAAATTGGTTTATGTTCATATAGCAGAATGTTATAAAGTGGAAACAACAACAACAACAACAACAACAACAAAAATCACACAAAAAAAACCCCACGAGATCTACACTTAGCACCAGGAACAAATGTCAATAACGATCAGTGAAAAGAAAAATAAAAAGATCTGTTAGGTACATAATTTAAATAAATTGTTAAAACACCAAAACCGACAGTATGTATTGCTTAACACATCCATATATATGTATATATGCACACATATATGTTATGTACATAGAAAAGTTATTCACGAATGCCTGAAGTGATACACATCGCTATCAAGACAATGGGTTGCCTCTCAGGAAGACGGGGTGAAGTAAGAAGGTGAGACTTTAGCTATATTTACAATGTTTTATTTCTTCAAAATGTGGTAAAATATTTGATGTTTCATTATTTAAATATTTAAAAATTTGCTTCCCTATTTTCTTTAAGCTTTTATAGCCTGTATTCTCCTTAAGACTTTATTACAGCTGGCATGATAAAACAATCACTACGTTTCATTCTTGATTAACTACAAAACAACTAACCTTAATTCATTTTATTTTGCCCATTTGTATCTTAGATGCAGCAATTTTCTGAGAAACCTCAATAAATCTATAGTATTTTCACTAACACCTTTATCAGAGGGTGGGCAGCTGGCAACTTCTCCACCCCCAAGCAGTTAAACTCAAGTGTCTGCATCTGTGACTGTACTGGTCACATGATGGTGGTGTGTAGTGTGGTATAGTTACAGTCCTCTACTCAAATGTTTCTGGAACAGTTGCTCGAAAAGGGCAACTGCCCTCCACTATGGTGGCTGGGCACCCAGCTTGATGCCACGCAAGAGATGTCCACTCCCTTCCACCTAGTGCCTCCACCAAGGTGCCTTTACATATGTCGGGCTTTCATATGTTAATTTTTGTTATGCAAAGGGGAAACAGACACGAAATGCTAGCTTTTTAGACACTCGCCTCCTCACTTATAATCAGACTGTGGTCCTGAGTCCTCACCAGAAAATTCTTTATCCGGAATGATCCCCCAGTGACAAGTCAGGCTTATGCAACAAGAATTTCATACTTCAGAGAAAACTGGGTCAGAAAGTAAACACCAGAAATTACAAATTTATCCTATAGAACATCTCTAATATTATTCCAACCTTTTAAAAATAAGAGTGATGAACTGTTGTTTACTGTTTTCCTTAAAAAAAAAATTCTAGTTTAAGCATAGTTACAGATGTAGTTACAGATAAGACAGAAAAGTTATCTCCCTTTACATTCCTGGGGTACATCTGCCACAGCTCAGGAGCCAATGTTCCTTCCCTCATTATGAACTGAAGTCCACACTTTATCTGGATTTCCCTGGTTGGTACTTAACGTCCTGTTTCTGTTCCACAAACCCATCCAGGACACCCCATGTCTTTTAGTCCTCACTTCTCCTTAGGATCCTCTAGACTGCAACTGTTTCTCCTACTTGGCTTGTTTTTTTGAAACAGTTTCACTCTGGTGCTCAGTTGGAGTGCACTGGTAAAGTCTCACTGCAACTTCCACCGCCCAGGTTCAAGCGATTCTCCTGCCTCAGCCTCCTGAGTAGCTGGGATTATAGGTGTGCGCCACCATGCCTGGCTAATTTTTGTGTTTTCAATAGATACGGGGTTTCACCATGTTGGCCAGGCTGGTATGGAACTCCTGACCTCAGGTGATCTGCTCACCTCGGCCTCCCAAATTGCTGGGATTACAGGCGTTGAGCCACCAAGTCCAGACAACTTGCCTTGTTTTTAATGCGCTTGACAAATCTGAGGAATATGGGTCAGATATTTTGTAAAATACCCCTCAAGTTGGGGCTGTCTGCAGTTAGACTGAGCTGATGGGTTCTTGGGAGAAAGGCCACAGAGGAAAAGCACTGTCCTCCCCACATCCCAGTCTCAGGAGGATTCGCCCTGACCCTCCTCACCTGGCTGCAGTCAGGTTTCTCCATGGTCAAGCTCCTCTTTCTCAACCCTGTTTCCATAGTGTACAACTGGGAAGGGAGTCACTGCATGCAGCTCACACTTAAGAGCTGGAATGACCACCTGCCTCCTCGACGGAGGGGCATCTACGTCAATTACAGGGAATTCTTCTGCCCAGGCTGTGTCTATTCCCACCCACCTGTTTATTCAACGGTTTATGTATATCAGTGTGGACACATGGGTATTTTATACTTTGGGATATAATTCTGCACTGCACTATTTATTTTGTTGCTCAAACTCTCCTGGCCTTCCCCCCGGGCCTCTGTGGTGGGCTCCCATGTCCTGCTGCCACACCCCAAGTTTCATTTCTTGAGCACTTCTTTACTTGCCAGCCCTATGAGTCCCTCCAGGATCACCCTGCATATTCCCCACCCCAGTCCTAGACTAGAGTGATAATTTCTCTAGTTATTTTAATTAGAGAAAGGTATCAGAAACCAAGACTTGGGTGATAGGTGAACTGCTTTAATTTTGTAAATAACTTTTTTCCTGATTTCAAAAATTTACTACAGAAAATTAGAAATATACAGGGAAAAAAACAAAACAAAAAATCAATCACAGCCTTATCACTAGGTATAACCATTATTATTATTTTGATGTTTGTTTTCCAGTATTTAAAAATACAGATATTATTTTTATAAAATTGGAATCATGGAAGTCTACTGTTGATATAATTTAACCTTTCTATTAAATGACTATAATAAAATATTTAAAGACTGCCTAGCATTTCACATTGGTTGGAATTAGTGGAATTCCACTGAATTCTCTATTGTTTATACCGAAAATATAATTCTGACTATTGATAATCATCTTTGTATAAACATTTTAGGCACTTAAAGCTTTTGAGCACACACTCTATAAACCTAAATTGGGCACCAGCATGTGCTCATTCTTTTAAGAGAGGCTTATTCTAGGAATACAGACAGTTCAGTATTAGGAGAGTCATTATTATGAGTCACCATTTCAAAGGATCGAAAGAAAAAAGGCATATTTTTATTGGTGTTGCTGCGACTACATCTAAAAAAAAATCAATATTCATTTTAAAATTTCTGATTATGGAAGTCGTTAAACAAAGACAAAATTATAAATAAAAATGTGATGAATCTGTACCATCCAGTTTCAATAACTGATTGTTGGCATCTTGCCAGTCTTGTTTCATGTATTCTCCTAACTTAAACTTGCTTGAGTTTTGCAGACATGTCTTACTCAAATTAGAATCCAAATGAGATGTACATTTCATATTTGGTCGCTAAGTCTCTTAAGTCTCTTTTAATCTACAATATTTCTTCTTTCTTTCCCGTCGCCCATCATGCATTTATCTGTTGAAGATACCAGGCCATCTGCCTTGCAGAATCTCTCACAGCATGGACTACACAGAGGACTTTCTGGTGATGTAGTTTATCATGTCCCTATGTCCTTCATGTTTCTTGTGAAGTGGGAGATCTAGAAAAGAGTTTCTTGGCCTCTGCACTCTTGACATTTGGGGCAATTCTTCACTGTGGGGGCTTGTCTGAGGCACTGCAGGTTGTCCAACAGCATCCCTGGCCTCTACTCACTAAATGCCAGTAGCACTCTCTCCGACTCAGTTGTGACAAACACAGTAATGTCTCCAGACGTTGTCAAATGGCCAAATGTCCTCTGAGGGGGCAAAAGCACCCTTAGTTCGGAACCAATGATCTACAGGTTTCATTAGATTCAAGGTCAGATTTCATTTTTTTTTTTTCAAGTATATACCATGGGTATTGCTGGGTATTTCCTATTGCCATACTCAGGAGGAACTTAAATCAAACCAACAACACCTAACCCAATATACATTCTTAATAAAACTTCTCTACAAAATAGGGTAGATGGATAATTCTTCAATATCATAAAAATACAACGTTCTCAACTCCAAAACTAGTATCAAGCTTAATTAGGAAACACCAGAAGCATTTCCATTAAGCTCAAGAACAGAACAAGGGCATTTACTTATCCCCACTATTATGCAGTATTTCAGAGGTACCAGCTAGGATAATCAGACAAGAGAAAGAAAGAAGAGGTATAGGCCAGGTTGGTGGCTCATGCCTGTAATCCCAGCACTTTGGGAGGCTGAGGTGGGCAGATCACTTGAGGTCATGAGTTCGAGACCAGCCTGGCCAACGTGGTGAAACACTGTCTCTACTAAAAATACAATAATTAGCTATGCGTGGTAGCAGGCACCTATTATCCCAGCTACCTAGGAGGCTGAGGCCCGAGAATCTCTTGAACCCAGGAGGCAGAGGTTGCAGTAGGCTGAGATCACACCACTGTACCACACTGCACTCCAGCCTGGGTGACAGCACAAGACTCTATCTCAAAAAAAAAAAAAAAGAAGAAAGAAGAGGTATAAATAGAAAGGAAATATGAGAAAATGATTTGCAGATAATTTAATGATATGCTTTAACAATCTAATTGTTATTAAAATTTAAAACTGTTACAAATAATAACTCAATAAAGCCACAAAACTAACATTCCATACAGATCAACAATGTTCCTATATGGAAATAATATTAAAATGCTAGATAAATGCTAGCAAGAAGGAAAAAACACAATTTATAATAGCAATGGAAAAAATATTAAAAAACAAGCCTATGGATGAATGCGTGTGTGTGTCTGCGCATGCACGCACCCACATGCATGCATGTAGTCCTTGCTTTGCATGGTTCTGAGCTGTATGAATTTCAGTTACTATGGCTTAAACATTATCAGTCCCCCGACAGTGTGGTTCAAATTTCAGTTATTAACTACTATGAGAATACGAACTGTGAGTAACTGAGGAGAACAAACTTCACTGGCAGCTCTTCAGTCTACTACGTAAACACAGATGCACCATGCCCAGTGACTAAGCAAGCCTTTCAAAGCTGGTGACTGGTCACTGTGCTATGCAGTTCACTCCCAGACAGCAAAACACGTAGTTACGCTGCCTCCTTATCTCCCAACGTTAAACCTGCAGGACATGTTACAAAAATCGATAGTCACAGGAGCTGAACTGGCCAATAAAATCAAAGTGCAGCAAAAACCCAAAAAGTGCTAATGCTGGAAGCAAAATTAGACACAAATGTGAATCAATTCTAGAACAAATAAATAGTTGGCCACAGGAATGTTGATACTGCTGCCACTGAAGAAAATTTGGGATATGCAGCCAGAGGATCTTAGTGAAAGTGAATTTAATGAGGAGGTATGTAGTTCCTGAAGGAAGTCTCCAGAATCATGAGCAACACATTTCTGTTATTCATAAATTACCCAGTCTAAGGCATTTTGTTATAGCAGCCTGAATGGACTAAGACACAGTACCACAGTTTGAATGTGGTCTGTCATCATCAAAACTAATGTTGAAATTTGATCCCCAATGTGGCTGTACTGGAAGATGAGGCCTTGTGGTAGGTTTCTGTTTGGGGGTGGAGATCCTTCATGAATGGGATGTTGGTGCTGTTGTCTTGGTGGTGAGTGAGTTAGTTCCTGCTCTTCCAAGACTGGACTGGTCCTCAGAATGAATTAGTTCTCCTGAGAGTGCGGTGTTATGAAGCCAGGATCACCCCTCAGTTCTTCCCTTCTTCGCATTAGTCTCCCCCCTTTTTTGACCTTCTCTGCCATGTGACGCAGCATAAAAACTCTCACCAGAAGCCAGGGCTAGGCCCTCAAACTTTCTGGTCTGCAGAACTGACAGCTGAATAAACGCCTTTTCTTCATTTGGAGTCTTGTGGGTTATCTGGTTTGCTATGCTATCAGAACCCCTTGCTTGTGGATTGTTAGTCTGAATTACTGAGCCAATTCCTGTCCATTTAACTGGTCAGCAAATGCTATCTCTTTATTTAAACCCTTTTCTGATTATGTAATCTATATTCCTTGAACAAAAATGGAATATAGGCAAGTATAAAGACAAATTCTAAAAAATTACTTGCATAGCTTCCTGGTCTTTTTTAATGTACATATGTAGATCTGAAGCAAAAGTAGAATCATACTATAGATTTTTAATCCTACTTTTGACAATGTTCCATGAGTATTTTCTCAAGTTAAAAATTATGCATTTTCAATGGGGTATAATGTTCCATCCTATGAAAATATCATAATTTAACCACTCTAGTAAGTAGTATAGAGCCAGAATGTTTTTTATCTTTTTGACATCATAAACAATACTATAACAAATTGTACATTAATGTAAATGCACTGCAGATTATTCTTCAGGATAGAGTTCATTTTCCCCTAAGACTCCTTAAGAATAATTAAGAATGAACACTCCTAGCTGGGACACAGAACATGACCGATACACCTTTTAAGACTCCCTGTGTGCCTGACCTTGACTGCCTTCTCTTCCTTTCCAGAGGTAAGAACGTTCCTGGGCTGTGGGGCACAGCCATTTTTAAGGCTGTGATCTGTATATGTAGCATGAAGAAAAAGGAAAAATGATAGAAAGTATGTTTTGACAGTATGGTAAGGGCATAAAAACAGAAACGCAGATCCACAGAACAGGATAAAGGGCCCAGAAATAAATCTAAACATACATAGTCAATCAATATTTGACAAGGGCACCAAGAGGACATAATGGAGAGAGAACAGTCTCTTCCATAAATGGTGCTGGAAATACTGGATATCCACATGCAAAAGAATTAAATTGGACCATCCACAAAAATCAACTCAAAATGGATAAAACACCTGAATGGAATACCAGAAACCACCCAATTCCTAGAAGAGGATACAGGGAAAAACCTCGCTGCTGTGGCAATGATTTTTTTGGATCTGACACCAAAAGCTCAGGCTACACAAGCACAATAAACGTACAACATCAAAGTAAAAAACGACACAGCAAACGAGACAATCAACAAAATGAAAGGGCAACCTAAGGACTGTGAAAAAATATTTGCAAACCACATATCTGATGAGGGGTTAATATCCAAAATTTATAAAGAACACTTAAAACTCAATAGCAGAAGGACAAATCACCCCATTTAAAAAACTGGCAAAGGACCTGAACAGATTATTTCTTCAAAGACATAAAAACCGTAACAGCGATATGAAAACGTACTCAACATCACTAATCATCAGGGAAATACAAATTAAAACCACTATGAAATGATAACCTGTTAGGATGACTATTATCAAAGACAAAAGAGAGAATAAATGTTGGCAAGGGTGTAGGGAAAAGGAAATCACACTATGGTGTTGGTTGGTACGGCCATGAAAAATAGTATGGAGCTTCCTAAAGAAACTAAAAATGCAACTACTACATGACGCAGAAGTCCCTCTTCTGCATAGGAGATGAAATCGCCAGCTCACGAAGGTATCTGTATTCCCATGCTCAGTGCAGCATTCCTCACAAAAACCAAGGTATGGAAACAACCTAAGTGTCCACTGATGGATAAATGGGTAAAGAAAATGTGGCGTGCATGCGTGCATACACACTCACACACTCACACTCTCACACACACACACACACACACACACACTCACACTCACTCCACCTTAAAAAAGGAGATCCTGCCTTTTGCCACAACATGTATGGGCCTGGAGGCCTCATACTAAGTGAAATAAGCCAGACACAGAAAGACAAGTATTGCTCAATCTTACTTAAAAGTCAAATACAGAGAGAGAGAGAGAGAGAGAGAGAGAGAGAATATGAAAGAATGGTTACGAGGGGCTGGGGAAGGAGAGAAAGATTCTAGAATACAAAGCAGCAGGTATTTAGGATGAACTTGTCTAGAAATCTAACGCACAGCACGAGGACTATAATCAAATTGCGCTGCATTAGGAATTTTTGTTAAGTAAGTAGATTTTAGCTGCTTTTGCCACAAAAAAAGTATATATGATAGATATGCTAATTTGCTTCACTATAGTAACCATTTTACTATCTGTATCCTATTACATCATATTATTAACCTCCAATACAAACAATAGAATTTATTAAAAAACAAAACAAAAATGTAAAAAAAAATGTTTTGAAACAGAGACTATGTCTAACAAATCATTTCTAACCACCTCAACAACAGACCAGCAACGGCAATATTCCACTTAGGATAAACTGCTCCTTCCCATCCTGTCCTATCCACTGGGCAAAAAAAGTCTACACCAAAACGAAACCACACTGACAAAAGAACTACCACAGCATGAGTGCATTTATCACAACACCTGTCACGATTCTGCTTTGCTTCCTTGGTGGAACTGCTGGCTGCTCCTGATGACACAGCCATTTGGGACTCAGTTATTCAAGTCTATCAAGGCCAAGTCATACACATGACATGGGGAAAGAAGTGAACACCCTAACAGTGCGACCGCTGGACTCCTAGAGTGGCCTATAAATATGGCCAATGCTGGACCCAGGCTTTGGAATGCCCAAAGAAGCACAATTTCTGTGTTAACCAATAAAACCTTACCCATATTTGTATAAAAAATGATTTCTTCCCAATGCAAGGAAGCTACTTTGGCAACCCAAAGAAAGCCAAGGTAGAAACCTAAGGCTTCTTACAACTCAGCTAAAAAGCCTGAGACTGAATTTTTCTACAGACTTTCTCCTACTGCTAGTAAGTCAGTTACCTCAGTCTCAGAACCCACAGAGATAAGGATGCTGGTTTATAAACACCCACTTCCCTGGCCTGGGACTTCACTTGGTTAGTTTCTAGGTCAAC